GCAAAGGTTTTCCTTAGGAAACAGGGTCTGCACAAAGTAGAATGTGGTTTGTCCTTCACTCATTCAATATTTATTTGCTAGGGCAGACAAAAGTTTAAATTAAATATGTAGCAAGCAGCAACTGGCTACTTGCCATGGCCTGAGACAGAAGGAGAGGAGAATGAATCACCACTCACTCATTTACTCTTGCCCAGCTGCCGATCTCCACCCTTCCTTCTTATCTGTCTCCCTCTCATCTCCCTTGGGAAGTTTCCCAGAGCTTTTGGCTGGCAGTAAATTGTGGTAACTGCCACAGGTCTGACCAAGGAACAAAGTACCCTTATCCCCTTGGTGGCTGCCACAGCTACTTGCTTCTTACCCCAGGGCCAAAATGATGAAGACTGAAACTGGAAAGGGAACCCAGCATGGCAATGTCACCTTGCGTAAAGAGTCTTGCACTTTCTCTTCTTTCCTCCTCCTCTCTCTCTCTTAAAAAAAAAAAAGACTGAAACACTAAATCTTCACAAGCAGAGCTCCAAGTAAATGATTGAAACCTTTCTGCTGTGATCCAAGGGCAGAGCATAGCTCATCTGCTTATACTTCTCCCAAACTCTCCTAATTTTAGAGTATAAATGCTGGTGATTGGAGGTAGAGGCTGTCTTAAAAAATATGGCATATACCTAAGGACCAGGAAAATCTGAGTCCGGATCTGCCTCTGATATATTCTGGCTGTGGTCCTTAGTCACTGAACTTCATAAATCTCCAAGTTGAAGAGAAAGTGATGGCCACATTGGAAGAGAAAGTTTCCTCATCCCAAGGTCCCCTATATTAATGAAACCATCGGTCCAGACCCTGTCTCCTATCCTTGTTCTACACAGAAGGCTACTGTCCACCAGAGAATGGATATTTCTGATGGGGTTGGGATCTGGGCCCCAGAAAGGAAAAACCCTGGACTTTCCCACATGGCCAAATCTCTAGCATTTGTCTGAGGCCAAAATCCTATCAACTGGCCTTTCATTGTGGCTATACCCAATCTCCCCTCCACTTTCTTACCTCCTATGGCCCCTTGCCATTTCCCCTCCCATCCAGATCTCCTTAGGCCCCTCCTCCCTTCCCCCCAAACTACTTGGCCACTCCTAGATTGCTCCCATAGGCTTTCTGTATATAAGGTCCATCTGGTCTCCATTAAGATGCTGGGATTCTTATAATCTAGCCACTGCTTAGATTCTTAAAATCTAGGCATGGTTTAGATTCTTATAATCTGGCCAATACCTCACAGACTTTCAGACTCCTTAAGAGTCTGCCCAATATGATGGATGTTCTAATAAACCTTGTCTTTGTCTGAGAGAAGGCGTGGGTCGAATTCTTTCCAGCAGGACCCACGTGTTGTGATATTGGGGTCCCAGTGATGCAGTTTAGAGTTTTGGGGGTGCTGGGACCCCAATATCACAACATGTGGGTCCTGCCAGAAAGAATTCAACCCAAGCCTTCTTTCAGCCAAAGATAAGGTTTATTAGAACATCCATCATATTGGGCAGACTCTTAAGGAGTCTGAACATGGGTAAGCAGTGGCTAGATTATAAGAATCTAAGTATCTTAATGGAGACAAGGTGGACCTTATATACAGAAAGACTGTGGGAGGGACCTAGGAGTGGCCAGCAAGCTGGGGTAGACAGAACTCCTGGGACCTGGACCTAGTGGCCAAAGGAGAATGGAGTTTAGCTAGGATTAAGGGTGGGAAATGGCCAGGGGCCATAGGGAGGTAAGACAATGGAAAGGAGATTGGCTGTAGCCTTAATGAAAGGCCAGTTGATGGGATTATAGCCTCAGGCAAACAGCAGAGATTTGGCCTTGTGGGCTGAGGCCTAGATCCCAACCCCATCACCAGGACCCCTGCACCCCTAAATTGCATCATTTTTCCAGTCAAACTCATTGAAACCCTCTCCTGAGCTGTGGAACAGGTTGTAATCTGCATGAGTGGGGGAAATAGCCATACTTATGAAATCATAAATCCTTGAAATATCAAAATGTTGTGATATGATCTCCCTCCATGGAATTAGGTTTGATGCTCTAGGCTTTGGGGTTTGAGACCCCTCATTGCCATTGGCATCTTCACGAAGAATGGTACTAGATGTCATGAAATTTACAAGCTCCCAAGGGAATGGAAAGAGTCCTAGATTTGGAGCCTAGGTTCAAATCCAAGCTTTGACAGTCATTATCTGTGTGACCTTGGGTAAATCATCCTACCTCTCTGAGCTTCAGCTTCCCTATTAATGAAGTGAAGGGGTTGGAATGGATGACGTCAATGCCTCTTCCAGCTTTAAATCAGTGAGTCTTAAAACCCTACAGCATTGTTGAAGGTCTGATTCTTGGCTTCCCCCATTTTATTGTAAGCTCATAAAGAGTAGGTTGTGGGTTAGATATTTCTAACATGACATCCACAGTGCTAATTACAGGGCTGTTCACATAACAGGAGCTGAATAAATGTAGATTAAATGATGTCATTGAATTACACTATCTGCATTTGGGAAACTGCAGTACTTTTAAGGATCCTAAGCTATCCACCAGTATACAGAGCTGTCTTTTAGAAATGGCAGGTCTCCAGGAGATGTATGATTAAGGATCTTGGAGCACCTGAGGCTCCAAGGAATCCAAAGGAGAGAACAATAAAGAGACGTGTGGTGGCACAAGCAGGATCCAACATATTTTCAATGATGGCTTACATTGAGAAGTATCCTAATGATGTGGTTCAGGGGTGCTGGGACCCCAATATTGCAACATGCGGATCCTGTCCAAAAGAATTTGACCCAAGCCTTCTCTCAGCCAAAGACCAGGTTTATTAGAACATCCATCATATTGGGCAGACTCTTAAGAAGTCTGAAAGTCTGTGAGGTATTGGCTAGATTATAAGAATCTAAGCATCTTAATGGAATCAGGGTGAACCTTATATGCAGAAAGACTTTGGGAAGGACCTAGGAGTGGCCGTAAAACTGGAGTGAACAGAACTCCTGGGCTGTGGACCTAGTAGCCAAGGGAGAATGGAGTTTAGCTAGGATTAAAGGTAGGAAATGGCCAGGGGCCATAGGGAGGTAAGACAATGGAGAGGAGATTGGCTGTAGCCACAATGAAAGGCCAGTTGATGGGATTATAGCCTCAGGCAAACACCAGAGATTTGGCCATGTGGGAAAGTCCAGCGTTCTTCCTTTCTGGGGCCTGGATCCCAACCCCATCACTAAGAGGTATCAAGGAGGAAATGTGTCCATCACTTATACCCACAAAATGGAAGAAGACCTATGGGGAGACTGGCAGCATTTCAGACATCTCCTTGAGGATAAATCTGTGGAAGAGTATCGGCAAGAGTGGCAAAAGGTGAGATGAGTAGATGGATCGTAATTTGTACTGTTGGAGGTGATGGGGTATGGGCCCAAGCAGAGACCTTTGCCCCTTACTCCAAAAAGAATTTGGGTCCTATTTGTCTAAGGAATTCTCCTTAAATTCTCCCACTTGATCTAGGAAGTCTTTGGCTTTCATCTGAGGCTATATTCCTATGAACTGGCCTTTCTTTGCACATAAACCCAACCTCCCAATTCTGTTAGCTAGCCCTCCATTGTCTATTACCTCCAGATGGCCCCAGGCTACTTCCCACCCTTAATCCTATCTCCTCTCCAATCTCCCTTGGCCAGTGGTCCAGGTCCCAGGAGTTCTGTTTACCTCAGTTTACTGGCCACTCCCATGCAGATCTTCCTTAGACCCCTCCTCTAGTCACCTCAAACTACTTGACCACTACTAGATCCCTCCCACAGTCTTTCTGTATATAAGGTCCATCTTGTCTCCTTTAAGGTACTCAGATTTTTAAAATCCAGCTACTGCTCAGATTCCTTAAGAACCTAGCCAATAGCTCACAAATGTTCAGATTCCTTAAGAGTCTGCAGCTAAGGCATGAGTCCCCCTGGCAATGGCCTTGGGCCCCAGGACAACCTTTGCCTGGAAGCATCACCCAGGTTCAGCACATATTGCTCAAGGTAAAGAAGCTGGCCTCCTTAATTATGACCCATCTACTCATCTCACCTTTTGCCACTCTTGCCGCTACTCTTCCACAGATTTATCCTCAAGGAGATGTCTGAAATGCTGCCAGTCTCCCCATAGGTCTTCTTCCATTTTATGGGTATGGCGGATCCTTAATAAACAGTGTCTTTGACTGAAAGAAGTCTTGGGTCGAATTCATTCAGACAGGACCTGCGTGTTGTGATTTCAGGGTCCCAGCAATACTAAACCTCTAGATCTCCACAGAGGGAGTGGTAACATTATTGACCCATACCCACATTAAAAGACATTGAGATAGAGGGATGATGTAATATCATATCACAATAAACATTGATAGGTTGTGTCTCCCAAGAGATTAGCTATCAGTTGTCTGTTGAAAAGAGCTTTGCAAACTTTAAAGTGCTCAGTAACTGTTAGCTTTTAGTGGTGGTCCAGCCCTGGAAGGCATATAGTGAGTAATACAAAGACCTGGCAGCTTCATGGATCTGCTTACTCCTTCCGTCAAAATAAACTCTGGGCAGCTAGGTGGCACAGTGGATAGAGGATGGAATTTGGAGTCAGGGAAGTTGTTCAGTTATTCAGTTGTATCCTACTCTTTGTGACCTATGGGCTATACCGTCTGTGAGGTTTTCTTGGCAAAGATACTGGAGTGGTGTGCCATTTCCTTCTCCTAGTGGATTAAAGCAAACAGAGGTTAAGTGACTGGCCCAAGGTCACACTTTCTTAAGACTAGACAATCAACAAAACAATAAATCAAGCCCTTCTACCTCCACATCTATGACTTATTATCCTAATTGGGTGATCTTGGGCAAATTGTAGCCTTGGCCCAATGGGCCCAAGGGGTTAACATTGAGTAATCAGAATGACTGGAGCTGGCTTTCCTGAGAACAACCACTTCAGTCCAATTGTGCTCTCCAGTTCAAGCACCTCCCATTTCCATCCTGATAAAAATCATCCTTCCTTTAATCTTTCCATAGGTTTGTTTTGGAATCCCATGCTGCTGGCCTTGAGTGCTACCTTCAACACGGTCTACATCTATACCTCAGAACTCTACCCTACAGTAACAAGGTAGTCATGTTTAATATCATAGTGAGTATATTCAAACACCACTGTAATATCAGTGTGTGAGAAATAAATGTGGAAGATTGACCGCCATTTATCTTGTTAGTAGCGTGACTTCATACTCTTATCTATCGTCCATAGTCTTCTCCTTTTGGAGAATTAAATTATTTTCATGTTGTACCCAGCAAGGTCCCTGTATCCAGGATCTCATGAATGTGGGTATTCCCTCCAAGAGTGCATACCCCAACCCATTCCTGCTTGACTCTTGACTGTGTCCTATCGTAGTTCACCGCTAGAGATTCGTCCAATGTGCTGGAAGCCTTTTGTGATTCTTCCTGACATTGTGTGGATATCACTGGTGCCCACAGCTAGTGATTATCCCTTCTCCCCAACACATGACAAGCCTCCCTGATGACATCCTTTACTATGCTTCTTCTTGGTAAAGGCTCATTTTTAAAATGCTGCTATCTGACTGGCATTAGAGCATGGCTATGAGATGTTGAACTCTACTGTCTCCTAAGGATTAGAGACAGCTACATGGTACAGTGGCTAGAGTGCTGGATCTGGAGTCAGGAAGACCTGAGCTCACTTACTAGGTTGTAACTAGACTCTGGGCAAATCACTTAACTGCACTCTGCCTCAGTTTCCTCAGCTGTAAAATGGGGATCATAACAGCACCTATCACCAAACACTGTTTTGAGGATCAAATGAGATAATATTTAAAAAGTGCTTAGCATAGTGCCTGGCACATAGTAAGTGCATAATAAATGCTTATGTCCTTTTCTTTGCTTCCTAAAAATTGAAAATTAGTATTTCTCAGAGGACCATGGAGAGTGAGTAGGCTGCAAGACTTTATAAACAAGGAACTGCTTCATCCAGAACATTTAAATATATTTGCCAAAACAGGTTTTATGTGGGATAAAGGAAATTTGATTCTCTTCCACCAATTTCAGTATGCCAAGGTGTTAGCCTTATAGCTTCACCATCAGAGAGATAGAATCCTGAAGAAAATTAAATGAGGAAAAATAGGAAAAAAGAAAATCAATTGAGCAATAAAAGTACTAATAATAATAACTGGCATTTATGTAGCACTTACTGTGTGTCAGGCACTGTGCTAAGTGCTCTACAATTATTATTGTCATTATCTTAACAATGACAATAATTAAAGGATCATAGATTTAGACTGGAAGGGACCACAGAGAGACTCGGCTCCAACCCCATCATATAGATAAGACTCATCTTCCTGAGTTCAAATGTGGCCTCAGACACTTACTAGCTGTGTAACCCTGGGCAAGTCACTTCACCCTGTTTGCCTCAGTTTCCTCATCTGTAAAATGATCTGGAGAAGGAAATGGCAAACCACTCCAGTATCTTTGCCAAGAAGGCCCCAAAGCTGGATCAGGAAGAGTTGACGTTATTGGAATGACTCAACAATATCAAACCTGTGTAAACAAGGGAAAGTTACTCAGCCTCCCTGTTTGTTCATCTGTAAAATGAGGAGGTTGGCTAAGATGCCCTCTGAGCTCCCTTCTACCTCCACATCTATGACTCATCATCCTAATTGGGTGATCTTGGGCAAATTATTCATCCTTCCTCTGCTTCACTTTAGTCACCTGTAAAATGAGGGAGTTGACTAAGATGCCGAGGTCTATGATTCTGTGATTAGCAAGGCTTGGATCTGAACCTGGCTTTTCCAACCCTAAATTCAGCTCTTTTCTGCACTGTACCCCAGTCTTCCCATCCTCTCCCCAGTACATTAAGGGCAAAATTATCTTGTATTTTGGCAAAATGGGTACAATGTTATCATGTAATCATGATATCTTGAATTTGGAAGTGAGCTCTGATGTCATTAAAATCAATCTTTACCTTAGTACATCATCTGGCATACAGTAAGTGCTTAATAAATGCTTGTGGGCTTACTATCTAGATAGAAATCCCTTCTACATCCTTCCTATTAAGTGGTTATCCAAAGGCCTGAGAGGGATCTTACTTCTTCTCCAGGCAACCCATTCTGTTTTTAAAAAGTTCTAAGGATTAAAAAGTGTTTTCTTACAAAGCGTGTCTCTGTGCAACTTTCATCCGTTGCTTCAGCCCCCCGCCCCCACCCCTTCTGTTGGCTCTAGCAGTTGATGGCTCCCATTCAGGGATGACAGGTGGTAGGGAAGTATGGGAAGGGGTGGGAGGAGGGCCAGTGAGCTGATAAACCAGCAGAGTATGGGAGGCCGCGTGACATGGTAGAAGCAATAGACTGGCAGCTGAGACTGTGCTTCAGTATTCTCCTAGCAGGGAGACAGGAGCAAACCTAGCTGAGTTTCCTTATCTGGAAAATGATTATAACAATGCAGCATACATATTACCTACCTTGCGGTGGGTGTCGGAAGAAGAAATACATTGTGAATTTAAGTTGCTTGGTTAAAAGAGCTGTGGGCATTATTGTTCTAAGCCCTGGGAACAGGAGACTTTATGGAGTTCACAGGTTTCTCCCTGGAAGATTATCCTATGCAACAATGGACTCCATTCAAAAAAACCGCAGGGCATGGGGAAAGTAATGTGTGAGGGCCCCATGAGCAAAGGAAACAGGTATTCAGAAAGTCGGATGGATGCCAGAGGGCCTCCAGCTCCCCATGCTGGTCTCCGCCCCCCTGCCCAGTTGTGGAGGACAAATGTCTTTATGCAGTAAGGCGTGACTGTCATGCAGCATGCAGGAGCTACATGCCAAGAGCCAACACTCCAAAGAAAAGACATCTAGCTTCCAAGGTGCAGTTCATTTGCTGGAAAATAAAATCATTTACTTTTCTTACTCTGATACAGCTCTGGGCTCCATGAACTTACAAATTTGATAAATATTTTTGAATATAATCAGTATCCTTTGTAATCCTATTTATTTATACAGTTAAAAACATCATTCTGCAAAGGGAGCCCTAGGCTTTCCCAGATTGCCCAAAGGGTCTGGGACACACAGAAAGGCTAAGAACCCCTGCTTTGATATTATCCAATTTTATGGGGTTACACAATTGAAATGAAATAGTAATCAGCCAGCGTCTCTTAGCCCCACCTGCCACGCACTGTGCTGGACTCTTAGGATGGAAAGATAAAAACTCCACAGTCCCTGCCTTCAAGGAAGCTGTTGTTGAGTTGTCTTCAGGAGTGTCCAACTGTCCGTGACCCCATTTGGGGTTTTCTTGGTAGAGGTACTGGAGTGGTTTTGCCATTTCCTTCTCTAGCTCATTTGACAGATGAGAAAACTGAGGCAGACAGGGTTAAAGGACTCACCCAGGGCCACACAGCTAGCCAATGTTAGAGGCTAGATTTGAACCATGAAGATGAGTCTTTTTGTCTCTAGGCCTGGTACTCTGTGCACTATGGTGCTACCATATTTACATAGAAGTAAATACAAAATGTACCTGCAAGGAAATTAAGACAGCAAGGTACAGTGAAATGAACCCTGGACTTGTAGTCTGAGGATCTCAGTCCAGCTCCAGGACTGCCAGCTTGTGTGACCTTGGGCAAGTCACTTAACCTCTGTAGGCCTCAGTTTCCCCACCTGTAATCTGGGGTGGGGTTTGCCTGGATGGGCTCTGAGGTCCCTGCCCGAGCTCTAAGATTCAATGTCAGGTACATGCAGAATGAGCCTCTTGAATCTACTTTTCCTTCCCTAGTCTGCGGGTCATGATTTCATCAGGGTGGTGGTCCCTTCAGGCATCCTGACTGTTGGTGCCACCTTCCCCCCAAACACATCATCACCTGGTTTCTCAGGTGACAGTTCAAAGGCCCTACTAGGGCTTGCTCTCCACAGGCCATGATTAAACACTATGAGGAGTAAGGAAGGGAATAAGCATTTATATAGCACCTACTGTGCCAAGAGCTTTACAAACATTCTCTTGTTTGATCTTCACAACAACCCTGGGAGGTAGGTACTGTTATTATCCCCATTACAGCTGAGGCAACTGAGTCACACAGCTAATAAGTGTCTGAAGCTAGGTCCAACGTATCACCTAGTTGCCCCAAGAAAGCTAGGGAGAACTTATTTGAACAAATGTGTTTAATAAACGTTTGTCAGATTGTTAAATGAATGTGCCCTCATCCTACCCCCGCATTTAATATCATTATTGCTAAAAATAATTTGTCTTGATGGCTTTTGCTTTTATAGTATGGTCATTTCAAGGAATACCCTTTCCTTTCCCCACTCCCAAAATTGGATCCTCCCTAATAACAAAGAAAACAGTTAAGCAAAAATACTGCATATCATGGTCATGTGTGAGGATGCATACAACACTCTGTTCTGATAGTCTCCCACCTCTTGCTCAAGAGGGGAGAGGTGTACTTCCTCATCTGTTCTTCAGCACCATTATTGGCTTTTCAGTTGCTCGGAGTCTGGCTTCTTTTTGTGAATCTTTCCTTGATGTTGTTGTCTTTATTTACATGGTACTTTGGGTTCTCTTTATTTCATTCTGTACCAAGTCACACCAATCTTCCTCAGGTTTCTCCAATCCTTCATTGGCCTCATTTCTTACCGTGTTCCATTCATATCCCATGGGGTTTTTTCTTTTCTTTGTTTGTTCTTTTCAGCTATTCCTTAGCAATGGGCATCTTTACTCTCCCAAAGACTGCTACCCTGGGTATTTTGTAAAGGGTACATTGAGTCTTTGCTTTTTTGTCTGTGACCTCATTGTCCTCCCCCCCACATTGTGAAATTTTATTTACTTTTTTTTATGAGATTCAAACCTGTGTTTTCTGATTTCATGTTCAGTGTCCTTTCCCTTACATCACAGGTCCCAATAAATGTTTATTGAAGGAATCAGTTACCTGGGAGTTTGGCATTTTGGGCTTTGAGGTAAAGGAGAACAGAGAAACTTGGCAAAACTCCCTTGACTGTTTAGAATTTTCGAACTGATGTCCATTGATCATTGTCATTTTACTTATCAAACCATCACCACCTACATTTTCACTTCAGGTCTTACCCTGTAACCTCTGTTCATAAAGCGTTGCCTTGGGACACTGAGTTA